ATCTATATCTGGGAAATGAAAATCTCTCATAATGACACAATTCCCAGTACTGTTTATTTCATTAAAAATATTAGCGGTCTCTCTCCAAATCCAAATCAGATCCTGGGTGTTCATAGCAGACCCAAGCACTATCCCAGTGGAGCCTCTGTTACCTTTCTTCCCCAAAGAGATTTTGACCCAAACAGATTCAGTTTTATGCATTCCATCACTTCTAATTTCTTTACAGTCTTCCCCATTATTAATAGACAGTGCTTTTCCACCACCTTTACCTCTATGTCTGTCTTTCCTGAACAACACATAGCCTTCAACACCTGTATTGAAGTCATGGCTACTATTTAACCATGTTTCCATTCACCTTATGATATCTAGTTTCACTTCCTGCACCAGTAGTTCTAGTTCCTCCATTTTGTTACCCAGGTTCCTTGCACTGATATACAGACATCTTAGTTGTTTCTGCTTGGTTTTGCCCAAATTCCTCGCTGGATTAGATACAGTCATTTTACTGCCGGTATACCTGACTGTTACTGCCAGTGGTTTAGCACTCTATCCTCTTGTTGTCCATTTTCTTACCCTCTCTTATTCCTTTCTTCATTGCTCTTTTACTTGGTTTTCCTCCCACTCAATATTAGAATCAAATGCGGAGATTACATGAGCTCCAAACCATTTCCCCCAAGTTCCTAGTTTAAAGCTCTTTTAATCTGTTGTGCCAACCTCCATCCCAGAAGCATATTTCCCTCCCTACTCAGGTGGAGTCCATCCCGTGAGAAGAGTCCTCTGTCTGTGAATGCCTCCCACTGGTTGAATATCCCAAAGCCCTCCTTATAGCACCATTGTCTGAACCATCTGTTGATCATCATAATCTTGTCTCGTCTTTGCCCTCCTCCTCTAGGGACGGGTAGAATCCCCCTGAGGGTCACCTGAGCCTCCATTTCTTTAAGTGTCTTCCCCAGCCTGTCAGTCTTCCTTGTTGTGTCCCAGTGAGAATCTAGCAGTATCATTTGTTCCAACGTGAAGGACAATTGGTGGATTCTTTCCTCCTCTCATTAGGATCCTCTTCCACCTCAGGTCCACATCCTGTCTCTTAGCTCACAGTAGACAACACACCCTTATGTTCTCTGGATCAGCTCTAGTGACAGGTCTGCCTGTCCTTCTTAGTAGGGAGTCCCCAATCTCATAAACCTGCCTCTTCTGATGGTGTTGCAATTCTCCAGCCTTCCCTCTTCTATTCTTTCTGGCTGCAAGTCTTCTTGTCTTCTGTTCTCACTTGTAGTCTCCTGCGAGTCATCCTCTGTCCTCTTCGGTCTCTGAAGTCTGGCTGTCTTCATTGTCTCTTCCCCTCTTCTTGTAGGATTAGCTGCTCTTCTTTTCATACTTGCCTTCCCATCCTTGATTACTGACTGCCTCTCCCCTTCATTTTTCAGCTCAGCGAACCTGGTCCTCAGCTCTATTTCTCCTTCGCTAGCCAGTTTTTTCCTCCTCCTTGTTCTCATAGTCACATGCTTCTGCTGGCCACTTTCCTCATCCAGAAGTCTACCCTCACAGTTCTCTGGTCCAGCATGCATTTGCAAGTCATGAGGTTTCCCTTCAGCCTCCTCTCTCCTTCCCTCCATCATCTGCTCAAATCCCCTTTGAAACTCTATCACAGTTTCTAGCTGCCTCTCCAAACCTTGGATCTTCTCCTCCATCAGATGGCACTTCATACAAATGAAGCACCTTTCAGGTACCCTCTGCAGAATAATGTATATCCAGGGCCGGCTCTAGGCACCAGCAAAACAAGCTGGTGCTTGGGGCAGCACATTTTTAGGGGCGGCATGGCTGGTGCCAGAATGCCGCCCCTAAAAATTTGCCCCGGCCGCCCTAGCTCACCTCCGCTGCTGCCGCTGGCGTGCCATGGCGCGCGAAACAGCTGATTTGCGCGCCGCTGCTCCCCCTCCCTCCCAGGCTCGAGAGCCTGGGAGGGAGGGGGAGACTCCGAGTGGCCGCGGCACGCGCGTGCCACTTCTCCCCCTCCCTCCTAGGCTTGAGAGCCTGGGGGGAGGAGGCAGGGCTGGGGATTTGGGGAAGGGGCGGAGCTGAGGCGGGGCTGGGGGTGGGGTAAGAAAAAAACGGGGGCGGGGGGGCGGCCAAAATTGTTTCTGCTTGGGGCGGCAAAAATCCTAGAGCCGGCCCTGTGTATATCCCATAGCTTCCATATCCTGTCATCTTAATTGTCTCTTCCATTCTGCCTGTGTAGCTGTCATAGCCTTCCCTCCTGTGAAGAAAGAAAAAAGGAGTGCGGAAAGAACCCAAAACACGCCCCTGTCCATAGATTCCTCTGTTTTTGGCTCAGTTTGCTGGCTCCTGTGCTGCTGGCCGATTGGTTGGCTGTGTTTATAGGCCTGCTGATTAGGGAAGCCCCGCCCCCTCAATCAAGGTTCAACAGTGATCACAGGCTCTGCTTCTCTCCCCACACGCTGCCCCCTGCCGGACTTTGCAAACTGAAAACAAACCTGCACACAAGCAATCCCACTGTCAAGAACTCCCTCCCTGCCCCTCGGGAGCAGAGGCTTGCTACCTTCTCCTCCAACAGGGATCTCCACGCAAATGCCGCTGGTTTCAGCTGTGTTTGCTGGCTCCTGTGCTGCCGTCTCTTGAAAATTTCCAGCCCCCTCAAATAAAAAAATGCAGTGATTCGCCTGGGAGTCAGGAACTACTGATCTAATCCATCACAGCCCAATTAACCGAACCAAACTTCAGCTCATTGGGAGCTGCCCGTATGACCCTGGGACTGTATTTGCTTCCCTTCCAAGCCTCTGCCGTGCTTTTATGGGAACGCCGCAGCATCATTCCAGGCACCCTTGGCCGGGAAAGCTGTGTAAAATCCTGTTAATATCAGGGTCAGTTTCTTACGCTGGTGAGTACATTGAAAGCTGATGTTGTTCTCACGCTGTGTAAACTGATTGTCACTGAGAGCTTTAGACATTGTCACCTGGGGCCCTGCAAGCTGTTTTGTTTGGAAGGAGCTTTTCTGGACACCGTGAACCGGTCAAGTTGCTGAGGTGAATGACTGACAGGGCCTGCTTTACTGGATGGCGCAAATGGAGTGCAGCCCGTTTTCCCCCACCCCAGCCACACCTCTGTCCTGAGCCCATCACTCCATCACAGCTCTGCTACCGCAACCTGCTCCTAAATGGGGGGTTTCCAGTTCTGCCTTATCAATCCACCGGGATCCCAACCTGCAGTCCCCCCCCCATTTCAGCCCAAGCCCCCTCACAGCTGTTTCAGTGCACCCCAATCCTGATCTTCAACACAGTCTGAGGTTATTTTGAGCCAGGACTGCCAAATGGGCCAAAACATGGGAAGCTTTGTTCTCTCGCCACACCTCCATCAAATCCTGCTCAGCCCTGCCGCGTGGATCTAAACAGAGAAATCTCTTAAAGTAGCTATGCTCTTCCTAGGAGGGTTTTCCCTTTGCTCCCTGTGCAGTCAGTGAGCTGGCACTAGCTAGTGGGTGGCTTGCTTCGAGAGATAAGCCCTCAAGCCTCCCGGGGCTGGTTGGGATGATGTGGGAGTGTGGCTGAGAAGTGTTTGGACGGGAGTGGCTGCCGTCCCTTTACCGCGCTGTTAACTGTGTTGCTTCTCTCTTTGTCCTTTTCACAGAGAGTACGGATAACTTTGTCTCAAGTAAGTGCCTTCTTGCCTTTTGCTTTGTTCCCTTTCCCCCCCTCCTGAATGCAAGTACCTTGCAGATGACATTTGGGGGGGAATCTAATGCTTTAGCGCTAGGCAGGAGGGATTGTTAGAGAAGGAGATGGGAAGCAAGACACTTGTTTCCTCCTCTGTGAGAGCCCGAGTGTATTAAGGAAGGTTTTTATGTGCTGTACAGTCTGCAGATCCTGGGCAGGTCTATTCCTGCCTAGTGGGGTCCTAAAGAAGGATCCATACCAATGGAGAGGGAGGCATGTGTTGTGCTGGTAGCATGGGTGACTTTGCAGCATGACACAGGCGTGAATGTGTCCAATATGTCTTCAAGCAACTCCTGTACTGGCTGTAGTTTGGGGTGCCACCAGGCAGCGGTATAGATGCCTCATCCACTGAAACTAAAAGGAAAAGCAGTCTTCAGAGCTAGTGTTGTGGGGGCTGATGTGGCTTAGGGCTTGGGGAAGTAATCTGGAACCTCTCCCCTTGAGGTTACTGATCTAAATTAGGTGCAGGTAGGTGGTGCCCCAAAGAAGTTGCCATTGAATCAACCGTATGAAAGGAGCAGATGGGTCTCAGTCCCCTTCTTAGCAGAACAGTTGTCAACATCACAACAAGCACTGGTTTGACCCCCTTATTTGGGCAGTCTGAGCACAAGCCAAGGGACTGATTGGGTCCTGGATATTGGAACCCCTCCCCCCTGCATTGTAGTGGGGACTTTTCCAAGTAAGAGCTGAGGCCCATTGAACAGGTGTGTAGGGTAAGTGCTGTACCTGTTCTGTGGGTGGGGGACTTCTGCCTCCTGGATTTTTAATCGCCAGCATTCAAATGCATTTAATTTAAAAAATCACTCAAGTCATTGTTTGTTGGTTTTAATTTGGCAGGATTCAGTCTTGCAGCAATCCGCATTCCAGGGATGCTTGAACCACGAGCTTTCCCCTGGTGCTGGGAGGCGTGTGGGTGGATGAAGAACCTTCACCCACAGAACATATGGGATCAGACTGCTTCTCATTAGCTGGGTGGGAGTGGCACTGTGTCCGATCGGTAACGTGGCTCTGCTTCCTCACTGCCCAATTACAAAGGACCCTAGAGATCTTAAGTAGAAAACACCTATTAGCTCATTTGGTCTATGCCAGTTCAGGAGAAATTACAACCCCAATAAGACTTGAATTCAGAGTCTTTGAAATAGAAGACAAGAGACCTCATTCTCTGGGCTAGCCAGTGCTATGTAGTGTGACCTCACAAGGTTGGGATGTTCTGGGGCCTATGGAATTCCTTGGGGGCACAAATTGAATATTTCCTCTTTCCTCTTCTGGTTCCAGTTGGTGACTATGAAGTGAGCCCCACCCCACCTATCACCGTGACCCACAAACCAGAGGAGGATACATTTGGGGTGAGTCCTGTCTCCTTTTTGTACAGGGGAAGCATTTTCTGCTGTTGCTGATGGATAGGGTGGTATACTGTTTGCACCACCATTGCTTCTATACTGAGATAGTTGTTTGTAAGTAAAATCCTACTCTTTGCAATTCATGATGGCCAGACTTCAGAAGGTTCAATGGTTTGGGATGGATAAGCAGGGATACTGATATGAACCACGTGAGCCTCTTGAGTTTGCAAAACTGGGCTGTGAATCTCTTGAAGACAGAGTCTCCACAAAGTATTTCCTGCAGGGTCAGAAATTCTGGGAGAACAGTCTGAAAAAATAACAAATAAATCAATGAATTGAGTTGTTTCATGCTATAATAGAACGTTTAGGAGCATGGATCCAGTTTGGGTTTATTTTCATCAATACCGATTCATCCACCCCTTCTTTAACCCCCCTGCTGCATTTGGTGATGTCACACTAGGATTTGATGACATTGGCTGAAAGAAGTGAAACTTTTGCCAATTCGTTTTTTACGTGGTTTGCAAGACCTCAAAATTTCACTTTTCACAGAATCTAGACAGGAATGGGAAAAAATGTTATGAGCAATAGTGTTGGGAAAATAATTAAGATTTCATTAAATTGCTCTAATTTTGTGCAAGTTTTTGAGAATCTTGAAATCCAGAAAGTATTGACAGAATAAACAAAACCGTGTCAATTTTCTGAATGTTTTACCCAGCTGTAATTCAGGGGAGTGAGGAGAGAGCTTCATACAATGGGACATTACTAGAGAAGAGCACCGAGTGTAGAAAAAAGAAATGCAGAATATATACATGGGAATGAAAATCATACTTGTTAAAATGTGACATTTTAAAAATAAAATCATGAGTATATCAAAGACTGGGAAAAGCATCAAGCGATGAAAGGAATAAAATGTCTTTGTGTTAAGTGCTGTATTTTCTTCTGTTATTGAACACATCACAGTAAGAGGAACACAGGTCCAAATGCAATAAGAGGCGTTGGAAGGCAGTAAGAATAATTGGCCAAATGCAAACGGAAGAAATCCTGAAAGGAAGCTGTTTGTTTACAGCAACACAATTAAAGTGGCTTGGGTAAAGATTTGCAGAAATAAATATTAATAAATATAAAAAGGAGCTTTGGGTTGTAAGCCTTTGTGGGCAGGGATGATCTCTCTTCTGCATCTGTACAGTGCTTGGCACAATGGGACCCCAGTCCCAATTGGGGGACTTTGGATACTATCATAATATAAATATTTAGTATTACTACTAATAGAGGAGCAGCTGGAGCCTCAGGAAAAGAGTTCTACCACCTTCTGTCTCTTGTGTTTTTCTCTTCCTTTATTCTTGCTTCAGAGGGTTGTTTGCATGGCGACAGAATTGATATTGTGAAAGAATTGTTCTGCTCCTACTGCATATTCCCCATCTCAAATTAGTATCCCCTTATGGTTGTGAGACCACAAGTTGGTTAAGATGTGTCAAATGGAGATTATGAAGGGGAAAAAAACCAGGGCATTAAGGAATACTAAGGAGCGAAGAGTCCATGCAGCTGTACTTGATGATTAAAGAGCGAGGGTTCAGAGATATGGGAAATGTGATATTGGAGCAGAATTGTATCTATATAGAAATTATTCTTGTTTTTCCAGTAGCAGTAAGAGGCTCTTGTAGTTTCAAAATTGCATTAAAGCCATTTGCATTCAGATGTATTCGTCTCCACAGCAGGCATTCATGCTGCTGTAGCGAATGAAAGTGTACAGGAGTGACTGAGCCAGGAGACTTCTACTTTTCAAGTCTGAACTGGTTTTGATATCCTATGTTCCTTTAGCCTAACTTTCAGATTTGTCCCTTGCAGGTATCCATAGCAGTTGGGCTTGCAGCTTTCGCCTGTGTCCTCTTGGTGGTGCTCTTTATTATGATCAACAAGTATGGTCGACGGTCCAAGTTTGGGATGAAAGGTACGTGTAGCTGCTTTTCTCCGGCAAGAGGCACCTTCAAGGAATGCCAGGCTCTAATGCCACATTACGAAAGGTGTTGTGTTTTATTTCCACAAAAGGTACTGTCTATACCAGCCAGTGGTACTACCAGAGCCCTTTGAAGGGGAAAGGTGCTACTACCTTTTCTATTCATTGCCTGGCCCTAGAGAGCAATAGAGACTTTCTCTTTTGTTGTTCTGGGCTGCAGATGTTCCTATTATTGGGAATAAGCGTGTGTGTGTGTTGGTGGTGGGGGCTTTGGGCCCTGCTGTCTTTGGCAGTGAACAGCGGTTGTTGCACACTGAAGAATGAATGCCCTTGTGCAGTGTTGTTGTAGCTGTGTTGGTCCCAGGATATTAGAGAGACAAGGTGGCTGAGGTCATATCTTTTATTGGACCACCTTCTGTTGGTGAGAGAGATGAGCTTTCGAGTTTACACAGAGCTCTGCTTCAGGTCTGGGGAGTGTACTCAGAGCTCGAAAGCTTGTCTCTCTCTCAAAGATATTACTTCACCTCCTTTGTCCTTCTTATAGGTCTCACGGGAAATGCCGGTTGGCCGCACTGCATTAAGCAGGTTTGGGTATGTTGGGGCAGGAGGTGAAAATACATGAAATTGCCTCCTTGGTGTAGTGGCCAGTTCCTGATAGAAAGGAAGGCGGGTGGATTTGGAATCGGTTTGTGAAGGAAGAGAATATGCTGTTGAGAGTCTGTGGGGTGCTTGCGAAGAGCAAGTGATGTTTCAGCAGGTTGCGAGGGGTTTTCCTGCTGCCTCCCCACTGGAATGTTTCTCTCGTTTCCTCTTCTGCTTCATGGCCATCCTCGTGGGAACTGTTTCAGGCAGGCTAGGTAGTGCTTAGCCAATGAGAAGACAGTGATGTTTGCCATATGGAGCCATTCTTTCAGTTCTCCCCAGCAACGTAGTTGCTTCTCTTCGGGATCATGGGGCTCGTGCCAAGAGAAACTGAATCAGTGAGCACCGTCTGTTTTTCATGATTCGGCTTGTGTTTATCTGCAGCCTTGGAGCGTTGGTGGTGCGCAGCAGAGCCTACTGGGACAGGTTTATAACATAACAAAGTAGTTGCCAGCCTCTATCCTTGTTAATACAGGCATTGTACAGCCAAACACGTGGTCTTTGGTTAACACAACCCTTTTCAAAGGCTTCCGAGTGGCAGCTGATTACCCAGCCATGCTGGGGCCTGCATTTGAGGAGCAGGCTGAAATGTTTGGGAGCATGGCTTGCGCTTGCCCAGAGTTAGTCTGCTTTGCGAAGACATTTCCAGAGTAGGTCCAAATGGGATTGTGGCTGGAGTTTCCCCTGTGTGGCCTGTGGAGATGGAAGACAGGACTTTAATTAAACAGCAGAACTACTGTAGCAACTTAGCAATATTTAGCTCATATGCCCATTGATGGGAGCAATCTGCTCGGGTGTACGGATTGGTGGGGGGAGCATGGGAATGGAAGTCATGATTTCTGCCATTTGTTCCCAGCTCTTCCACTGACTCATTTTGTGATCTCACACAACTATCAGGCTTAACTACGCTTTCTGCTTGAGCTTCCCCATCTGGAAAGTGGAGCTGAAGTTTACCAACTTCATTGGGGGAGGGGGAAATTATCTAGGAGGAATGTTTGTACGGTGCTGTGATATCTGCTGCTGATAGTGCAAAATGTTATGGGTAAAAGAAAAGAATAAATATCCCCCCCCACATGAAAAACAGAGATGAATGTGGGTAACTCACCGCTGTAGATGGATAGACAGATGTGTGCTTGCACTAAGGGGTTATGGTAACCATGAGTGTGAATCTTGAATGACGTTTGAGTTCCCCAGAAGTCTGAGATGTGCTGTGGTAATATTCCCTTTTGGCATGTGCAGGATTTAGATAGCACAAGCTTTTATCAAGAAAAACATGGATTTCCTTTCATTAAGTTGCTGTGCTAAGTTGGAGTCCCTGTTAGTCTGATAATAAATTGTAGATATAAATGTCCCCCTGCAGACTTAATTTTTAGGGGTTTAACTGGTAAGGCTGTTAGACAGAATCTGCAGTGTTTACATGGGTTTAAAATTCAGGGAGATGTCTCATGTGGGACTTGATCCTGGTTCACTGATTATGTAGCCAATCACAGCCTTCATAGGCATCTTAGAAATGCAGGTTGTTGTTGGGCGCTGTGGACACCAAGTCCACGTGGAGTTCGTGTGAAAGTGACTGGCATTGCCATTGGATGAGTGGCTGAATCTTGAGCCTTGAAGGCTCTTTATAAATCGGTAGCATTCTGTCACCATGTTTAGACAAACATGCACGTGCTCCTGCTGACCAAAGTACCTGCTGCGGACACAAGGGCTCACGTCGCTCTCTTGGTATCTTCTACAGCACCTTTATCATTGCCACTAGGGCAAATTTGTCTAATTTGCTCTCCTTAAAAACTCCACCTTGGTTCCTCCTTCTCCTCCCTCCCACCAACATTCTGGGGACCCTTTCCATGACTCCCCACTCTACACCTTCTCCTTGGTGACCGTATCTATTTGTACAGTTTAACTCTCATCTCTTGGTTGATCACTCACTAATCTATGGGCCCTGTTTCCCTCTGCCCACTCCTGTGCTGCAGAGGATCTCCTGATATATGGCCTTAGATGGTCCATCACCAGCATAGAGCTTCTTGGTTTTTCCATTTCCTCCTTTCTCTGTTCCATCCTGCCTGTCACTTAGGCTCACAATCCCTTTGACTCCTCCTTTCCCTTCTTCCCACACAACAAGGCTGTTGCCGAATATCGCTGCTTCTTCCTCTTCAGTGTTTTGTAAATGTGACCCTTCCGTTCTAATGCCCTGGCTGCATCTTGCCTTGATGGCTGCAACCAGCTGATGACTGCATCACTCCCTGCCAGTTTGCCCGAAACGCAGTGGCTAAAATACTCTTCCTTCCCCATTGATCAGATCCTCTATCTACCTTTGCAACCCTCCATTCGCGTCCATTCAGCTACTGCATAAAAGTTCAAACTTCTCACTTAACACCTTTAAGGCCTTGAATAACTTAGGTGTGGTCTACACCAGTGGTTCTCAAACTAGGGCCGCCGCTTGTTCAGGGAAAGCCCCTGGCGGACCCGTTTGTTTACCTGCCGCATCCGCAGGTTTGGCTGATCGCGGCTCCCACTGGCCGCGGTTCACTGCTTCAGGCCAATGGGAGCTGCAGGAAGTGGCGCGGGCCAAGGGAAGTACTGGCTGCCGCTTTCCACGGCCCCCATTGGCCTGGAGCAGCGAACCGCGACCACTGGGAGCTGCGATCGGCCGAACCTGTGGACGTGGCAGGTAAACAAACTGGCCCGGCCCACCAGGGGCTTTCCCTGAACGAGCGGCATCCCAAGTTTGAGAACCACTGATCTACACAACAGACTTATGGTGGTATAACTACATCGCACCCCTGAGCAACGCAGAAAATCCACACTCCTGCATGACACAGTTACATCGACCGAACTCCTGGTGTAGACAGTGCTATGTAAACGGGAGAGCTTCTCCTGTTGACATCGCTGCCTCTTCTCTGGGAGGTGGAGTACCTGTGCCGATGGGAGAAGCTCTCCTGTTGGCAAAGGTACTGTCGTCACTAAGCATTACAGCCTCGTCGGTGCTGCTGCGCCGCTGCAGTGCCATATGTGTAGACAAGCTCTTAGGCCTAGCCTACAAGTTGGATTTTATCTCCTATAATGTCCCTCCCACTCTTCATTCCGCCAATGATGCCCCATTTATTTCAGTCTCCCATCTTTACCTTTTTCTGTGGTATTTCCCACTTGTGGAATGAGCTCCCTAATAACATAAAAACGGCCATACCGGGTCAGACCAAAGGTCCATCTAGCCCAGTATCCTGTCTTCCGACAATGGCCAATTCCAGGTGCTTCACAGGGAATGAACAGAACAGGTAATCATCAAGTGATCCATCCCCTGTCACCCATTCCCAGCCCCTGGCAAACAGAGGCTAGGGACACCATCCCTGCCCATCCTGGCTAATAGCCTTTGATGGGCCTATCCTCCATGAATTTATCTAGTTCTTTTTTGAACCCTGTTATAGTCTTGACCTTCACAACATCCTCTGGCAAGGAGTTCCACAGGTTTACTGTGCGTTGTGTGAAGAAATACTTCCTTCTGTTTGTTTTAAACCTGCTGCCTATTAATTTTATTTGGTGACCCCTAGTTCTAGTTCTAATCTAGTTTGCCAAGCCACTCTTCTTTCTTCATTCATATCTCCTGAAGTCTTACCCCTGGACACTAACCTCTGGCAAAGATCTTTACTGCCACAGTGTCATGCTAGAGAAGGAGAATGTGATCAAAAATCAAAACAACCAAAAATCCTCTGGAAGCTTGCTCGCTCCTCTGAGTCTCCCATTGTGATTTAGTTGCAGCTTTCTGGGGCAAGAATTAGGTCCTACACAGCATCAAGCATATGGTTGGTGATTTAAAAATAGAATAATAATAATCAAAAGGCCTGATCTAGGTACAGAGCATCATTCCCTGATTCAGGAGCAGTTTGTAGCCAGCTGATGCATTACCACTTGCTATTGAAATTCCAGCTTGGCAGGATTGTAGCAGCAGGTTTTTCTTGTTGTTTTTGTCATGGCCGCAGAACGCTGTGTACTCACGTAACCCAGAATGCCTTGTGGGGGCCCTGTAAGCTTGTCTCCTCCTGCCCCTCTACTGTGCTCTTCCCAGCAGGCTGAGCAGGGAGGTTAATGCCTAGTGAATAAGGGAGGAGGTGGGGGACAGCTGACACAGGGGTGGGGGAGTGAACCTTACCAGGGTGTGCAGGCAGGTGGCTGCTTGTGTTCTGAGGAGATGAGGCCAGAGAATGAGGAACTCCTGTATCCCAGTCCTGGGCTTTGTGCACAGAAAGCACAGCAAAGGAGCAGAGCGATCTGAGAGGACCTGGTTAGGGATTTCCTAGCTAATAGGTATGGATTTGGGTCCTGTCTGGGAGCATAGGCCAGTGCCTCTGCTTCTCTTC